TTTTCTGGAATCAGTATTCGATGAAAATGAATGAGACGTGATGCGATGGATCGAGATGATGATCGAGATGATGGAATAAGCGAACTGGGGGTTTGGCTTCATGAGAAGATTGTTGTTGTTGTTGATGATGATAATGTTTTTGTTGTTGTTGTTGTTGATGATGATAATGTTTTTGTTGTTGTTGTTGTTGATGATGATAATGTTTTTGTTGTTGTTGTTGTTGATGATGATAATGTTTTTGTTGTTGTTGTTGTTGATGATGATAATGTTTTTGTTGTTGTTGTAGTAGTTGTTGATAATGTTTTCGTTGTTGTATTACTATTTTTGCTGTTATTGTTGTTGTTAGTATTATTATTATTATTGTTGTTGTTGTTGTTCGCTTTATTCTATAAAATTTGATGTATTCTGGAAATAAGTAACTGTAAATACAAGTAATATAAATAATAATAAAATAATAATAACAATAATAGCTATAACACTAATAGAGGAAAAATAAAATCGAGTTCAACACTACTAACATTAATGTCAGAATTGAGACCATTTATTCGATTCTAATCGATCGGTTGTGACCGATTCTATTGGTTTTATACTAGGATGCACGCACACGTACACAAGCACACACACGCACACACATACACGAATAGATGAATGAATGAATAGATGAATGAATGATTGTATGTATGCATGTGGTCTTGTTTATCTTCTTGATTTCCTGATACAATGAATGCCAAATTTTGCACGCTTTCATCATCTGTCATTTGTTTGTATGTTTGTATGTATGTTTTGTGTGTATGTTTGTACGTATGTATATATGAATATATATGTTTGTGTGTATGTTTGTATGAATGTATGTGTGCGTGTGTGCGTGCGTGTATGTATGTATGTATTTATGGGTGTGTATGTATGTATTTATGGGTGTGTATGTATGTATGTATGTATGTATGTATGTATGTATGTATGTATGTATGTATGTATGTATGTATGTATGTATGTATGTATGTATGTATGTATGTATGTAAGTATGTATGTATGTATGTATGTATGTATGTATGTATGTATGTATGCATGTATGTATGTATAACGACTTATCTACGGTTGAAAGATCAAATATTACGTAAATGGATTATAATGAATTATTTAGCATGAAGATTGAATAACGTCTTATACATTATTCCATAATACACTTATGTTTTGATACACGTGTATAAATACACACAGACACACACACACACACATGCATACAAACCTACTACATACACACACACACACACACACACACACACATACAGAGACACACATACAAACATGAAATTGTTCAGCAATTGAAAATTAAAAAAAAAACCTATATAAGTTAATGAACTTGCTGATTGTGATGATGAAGATGACGACGACGATGTTGATGATGATGAAAATTGTATTCAAAATTTAATTATATTGAATTATTTCCCTCACAATTAATTAACTTATGCTAATAAGTAAGCCAGCCAGGTGAACCAATTAAACGATAGGGCAAATACAGTCCACGACACACACACACACACACACACACACACACACACATATATATATATATATACACACACACATACACACACACCACACACATATAGACATTCAAAGGTTTCACATTTTAAACATCTCTTTCGTATAATCTGCTTATCTTCAATCAATAATACACGCTGAAGTGACCATTCCATATCGATGAAAAGATAGAGAAAGATGAAGGAAAGGAATGAAAGAAGAGAGATAGAAAGGAGAGAGAGAGAAAGAAAGAGAGAAAGAGAGAGGGGGCGTTAGATAAAATAAAACCATTTTCTTTTTTTAAATTAGTTGACAATCAAATTCATTGTGAAAATAATTTTATGACTAGTTAGTTATTACAGGTGTGATCAAACTCATAACTAATAGAGAAAGTGAGAGAGAGAAATAGAAATAGAGAGAGAAATAGAAATAGAAAGAGAGATAGAGGAAGAAAGATAGGAGCGTGACAAATCGATGTTTTCCCACTAGAGTTAATTGGTTTTATAAACGTTTGCATGCGTGTGCTTGCTGGCCTTAAGAGCTAGAAAAACTAATATTATTTTATGAAAACGTTAAAATTATGATTATTATTTATTTTTATATGGTTATAATAGAAGTTGTAGTATGTTTATACTTTCATTATTATTAGTATAAATAACTAAGACGTAATTAAACTAAATAAAAATTATTTATTTACTCTTTATTACTCTTTTTTAGATAATTAAACGAAAATCAATAACTTATAAGCAAATTCTACTAACCTCTTTAATTAATTTATGCAATAAAAAAAATATTGTACAGATGCAATACAATACAATACAAATCAATTCAAAACAAACAAGACGTCAATTGTATTTTACATACACTAAAATTATTAATAATATGTACACATACGCATGTGCACATGCATCTTTATATACAAATAACGTACATACACACACGCACACACACACACAGAGGAAGGGAAACAGATATATATATATATATATATATATATATATATATATATATATATATATATATATATATATATAAACTTTCCTCAACTATGTATGATCGAATCATATCTTTAGACCTTTGAGAGTTTTGTTCACTGGAAATTGTTGGAAAGGTAGAAAAGGTTAGATGAAAAGTAGTTAAACACATTCACACATACATTCACACATAACACGTAAACATTCACACATACATAATCATAGACACACACATTAACTCATACTCAAACATACACGTACACACACACACATACAAATTTGACATCTCTTAACGAAATGTACGGTGTCATATTTTATTCTGTTATATTTTATTGCATTCAGTATTCATGCCAGTTTTAATACATGTAAATATACATTTGTAAATAGTTTATGCCTTAATTTCATGTTATTTATACTTTATTCTTTCTCAATTAACTATTTAGTTGAAGTTTTATTTTAAATTCTTCACATTTTTCAAACAAAATACAGATACAGCAATTATTTATAAAGCATTTTATCAACCTTGTTGAAAAAATAAAGATATCAAGGTCGTCAATTGGACGGTTTAACATATTTTATCAATTTTACCGACCGAAGTACCGACTATTTGATATTAACTGACACTTTTGTTACATCACTTTATAAAGTATCACCATAGTAACGTGTACTAAACAAATAAATTACATTATCAGCTGATTAGATTACAATTTTTAAAGAATTTTCATAAATTATGGAGCATGAAAAAATTCCAAAAGAAATTATTTTCAGCGTTTTGCAGCTTAAAAATTTTGTAAGCTTGTTGATTATTTGGCAATAAATGAATTATAAATCACAATTTTTCGTTTCGCGTGATTTGAGTTCTTGGCCAACTGTTGATTTTTACGGACGAAATTTGATTTTTTGATTGAAAGTTTCATCAAATTAATCTTTTCTAATAAATTTACGCTATAATGTGTATTTATAAGCAGTCAAAAGCTTTACTAAGTAAAATATTGTTATAATACCGATCTTCATTGTGTTATAATCTCAACAATTTTCGGTCATCTATCAACTAACTCAATAATTTCCAATTTTTACGTTCTTCTATTTTCAATAATTCTACATTTTATCATTAATAAAATTATTTGTTTTTGTTATTATAGCAATAATGAGATAAACATTACCAACTGTATTATTGTTTATTTGATTTAACATAAAATTTAATAAAAATTTTAGAACTATGAAGATGGGGAAGTAGCAATTAGGTTAGAAATTGGAGAAAGAGTTTTGGGAGAAACAGAGAAGATAAAATGCCTCCCCAACAAGTTTATTTCTTTGGATTATCAAACTAAGCTTGAATGTGAACTGAATGATTATAGTTTGCTTAACGATTTGGCTTCTAAACCTTTGCTATGTAAGGAATAAATTCATTTTTTTTTATCTTTTTTATCATTTAATTATTATTGTTTTTTTTAGTTCGTAATTATTTTTATTAGATTTTCAGTAATTTTGAATGATTATAAAATTTCAATATAGCCTAATATCATTGTTTTATATTTGTTTATCCACAATCTATATCTATTTACATTCTTGTTTTAACTATCTATGCAATCTATCTAGGCTCAGTTTTAGACTATGGCCTTGTGAAAGAGAAAAAAGATAAGCCATTCATCTTGGCTCAGTGTTCAGTTGATCTTCTCCCTTTCTTACTAGGTACCTTTTTTAGAACCTTTTTTAAACTTGGCGACATTTTTAGCATCATTTAAATGATGTAAAATACAAGACGAAACAGTTGTCCTTTGGAGCAAAGTAATGCTATTCAAGATGGTTTAATGGTTAGGGCGCCTGGCGTTGCTTTTGCAGTGATCGGGTTCAAATATAAAGTTATCCCAACCTACAATGTATTCACATACAATCTGATGCGTGTGTGTGTGCGTGCGTGTGTGTTGTTTATACTGCTGAGAGTTCATTAATTACAAAGGTATAATCGCCAAACTTTTACAGAATTTTGATATTACACTCGGCTAATGATTCATAATTCTTCATTTTTAGGTGAGTCGTACGTAAGGTCCTGTGTTCAACTGCAGCCCTATCTTGACTCAACATACCAAGACAACAACGACTGTTTCAAGGTGCTTTTTTTTATTGAATATTAATAAGAGAATTATAATTTTTTGTGATTAAATTATATGAAATTAGTATAAAATGATAATTTATACATATTTATTATTTACGAATTCGTCTTTTCCATAATTTACTAATTCACTGGTTGATAATGTGTCAAATTTTCCGAATTCACTACAAACACAGTCAGAGTTGGAAGTGTCAATAAAATGTGCGGACCTCCTGCTAGAAGAGAGGAATTTAAAACTCGGCAACGTCATGACGGTCGTCGTGGAGTCGATGATGTCACTTCCGGAAAATATGGTCGCTACTAACAGCCAGAATTTCATTTATGTAGCGTCCATTCCTATGTTCACTAGAGCTGAGGTCTAATTAGACGTAGCATTATAAAATAATCATATTATTATTATTACATTCATTGTCTTAATTATAACAATTATATTTTTTTTCGTCCAAAGAACGAGTCGATAGGGGTTTTTTGCAAAGGTCAAATGATCAACCCGCTAGAAGATAAAGAGATTCACGACGACAGAATAAAATGGGCGGTGCCAGGCAGGGCAGAAGGCGGGGCTAAATATGTTAATTACAAGTTAGTGGCTGAAAATTTTAAATTACAACTCTGCTGTGTTTCTTGGTTGAAATTTTAGGTCAGGTAATCATCATTAGTAGCAGCTGTGCTAATAGTAGTAGTAATAGTATTTAATTATTATTATGATTAATAATATTTAATTATTATGAATAGAAATATTTTAATTATAACCAAGGAAAGTTGCAACGGAGCAAATAAGCGAGGAGTCGGGCGACCTGAGATCATGTGAGGATTACGAGATGAGGAGGAAGAATTACAGAGAGAGAGAGAGAGTGACGTGGAATATGGAGTGGAGGTTTTGTCTGGATGCTGAAGCTGCTGAAGCGTAAGTCCTCCTGATGATGATGGCGATGATGATGGTAGTGTTGGTATGATAACATTGTCATTTTTATAGCGCTTTGCGTTTGAAATCGTCTTTTTTTTATAAGCAGGTGTACGTACAAAAATGAACGACAATGACAACGTGACTAAACACACAGACACACATACACACACACACACACACACCACACATACATCACACACACACACGCACATCTAAACAGATTGAAGTGTAAGATTCTGCAAACAAGATACTGGCCTGTTGAAATATTTAGAATAACTAGCGAGGCTATGAAATCAAAAGTAATAATCAGTCAGTCAGTCGATCGTTCATTCCTTCCTTCATTCATTCCTTCATTTATTCATTCATTTATTCATTCATTCATTCATTCATTCATTCACTCATTCATTCATTCACTTTCTCAATAAACTTTTTCAATAAATCAGTCAATCAATAACTAACCAATCAACCAGCCGATCAACCACAACCAAACAATCAGCTAACTTTTTTTAATTTATAAACTTTCTTATTGCAATATTTCTAAATTGTAAAAAAAAAACCATTTGAAGAAAGATGCGACTGACGTGAAGGAGCTGACAGACGTGTTGGGATATCATGGAGTTGCCTATGTTGACATGACGCCATTAATTCACCCAGGAGGTGATGATAATGATGATGGTGGTGACGACGATGATGATGAGGATGAAAATGACGACGACAATGTTTTTGAACCAGGTAGTCGAATCAGAGGTGCGTATAAGGTCATCGGTCACGTAGAAAATGAACTTGTGGAAAAGGTTATATATATATATATATATATACATATATATATATATATATATATATATATATGTATTGGTAAGAGACCATATTTTACACAGTATTGTATGAACCAACCAATCACACGCAGCCATCCAACCAACTAATCAACCAATGATATGCAGACACGGCGGCCAAACGGAAGTGTAGCTCGCGAGTCGCTAAAGATCGCCGACGACATTTTGACGGCAGCAACTAGTTCAGATGTTTCCACTGATTTGAACCAAATGACCACGAGTAAAACCGGGAAAGATAAAAAAGCGGGCGATAACAAAGATAAAAAAATGTCAAATTTAAATCCTGCTACTGCTGATAAGAAAGCTCTGGTTAGAAATCTTTTATTGTTTTTCTATCTAGACAATGATGATGATGATGTTGATTGTGATAGTAGTAGTAGTAGTAGTAATTAATATTAATATTGCTATTGTTATTTAAATTACATTTTAAACTAATTTAATCCGAAGAAATTGAAAAAGGTTCATCTCTATTTTATTTGTTCTTGAGTTAAAAGTTGCAAATAATTTTCCATCTTATCTACATTCATCGCGGCTTTTGTTGTTGTTTTCAACTAACACAGTTAAATATCATTATCAGATCATCATCTTGTCATCATCATCATTTATACGTTTATATATGCAAATCTACTCTAATTTATGTTAATTTTGAAGTTCGTATTATCGTTCATTAATTGCTTTGATAATACACAAAATTTCACACACACACACACAAATATGACAGTTGTTTATTTATGTTAATGAGCCATATGTATGCTTAATTTGTCAGCCTATTATTATAAATCATCTAGTTAAAATGTTGTATGCAAATTTGTACTATACTACATTGTACTCTATACTCTATCCTTTAAGTAAAGCTTTTAACTCTGCTGCTCGTCTAGTTGCTCGTGCCCCTTTCTTTTCTCATATATCTCCATATCTTGTTCTCTTGCACTGGCTACCTATAAAATATAGAATAATTTTTAAAATTTGCACGTTCATGTATAAGTCTCAATCTAAATTATTTCCTAAGTACTTATCAGATATATTAATTGAACCTAAACGCCCCGGTTTACGATCGTCTTCTTCTTCTCGCTTTTTCTTAACTCGTGTTAAACACTCTTTTGCCAAATCTGCTTTTGCTTTTTCTGGTCCTTTTCTCTGGAACTCTCTACCTACTTCTCTAACTATTTCTCCATCACTTGCGAAGTTCAGAGCGGATCTCAAGACCCATCTGTTTTCAAAATTCATTGAGGAGTGCTGTTGAACATCGCGGAAATAGCGCTTTATAAGCTAATTGATTGATTGATTGATTGATTGATTGATTGATTGATTATGTTAATGAACCGGGCAAGGGTCAAAAATCTGGAACCTCATTGGCCAGCGGGGTTACTGAAGAAGGTGGTCTTACCAAGGAGGGTGAGGAGTTAAATGACTCCGTAACATATATTATGCTTGATATAGCGCTAAATAAACCTTTGGTTACTAAGAAAATGGCCGAAGAATTGGCTATTAGGTGAGTTTTATATGCCTATATTTTTTTTGTTTTCAAACTGGTATTATTATTATGATTATTATTATTATGCAGTATCGCCAGTATAATCCCGCCCAGGCCAATATACCCAAAGATAACGAATAGCGCCGAAAAGGTTCCGAATAAATTTTCTACTGTGACGTCATACGTGACGTAATTACGATCGATAATTATGAATAACTATGTTTTATACGTATTTAATATTTCCTGATGTCAGGCTGTTAATGATTATAGGAGTCAAATAAAGACTATTGCCAATGTTATATTGGAAGAGTACAGGTTATTATTATTATTATAAGTAGTTGTAGGGTTTCATGACCGTGGTATTGTTATATGTTTTTTATTTCAATGAGTGAATGAACAACTTGATGGATGGATGGATAGATGGGTAAATGAATGAATGATTAAACAAATGAATGAATGATTGAGTAAATGAATGAATGAATGAATTAGATAAAAATTTCACAGTGAAACGTTCAACTCAGTGGAAGACATAACGAGCAATATTAGTGATGAACTCCTCGAGGAAAAGTATGCGCTATACCAATCAATCAAATATTCAATCATCAATCAATTCATTCATTCATTTATTCATTCTCTGGCAGACGACAGCAGATATATTATGGTTTGAATACGAGCGGGAAATATTTGGCATTCAAAGAGCAGTTAAAACATTCAATAGTGAAGGTTGTTCGGGATCGATTCTGTAGGACCAGCGTTATCGAGGATAGTATCGAATTCCAGGTATCGTTTCGTTTCGTTTTAGGTTTCGTTTCGTTTTTTTATTTATATTTGTGTGTTTGTATGCGTTCAATAATTTATTTGGTTGATTATTTGTTTTTCGTTGGTTTATTCAATTTTTTACTTTCCATGCATTCGTTCGTTCGTTCGTTTATTCATTCATTTGTTCATTCGTTCATTCATTCATTCTTCCTTTCATTCACTCATCCACCAATTCATTCGTTCGTTCATTCATTCATCCATCCATCCATTCATTCGTTCACGCAAACAGCGTTTCATATGTGACCTGTACGTCTATCTGATAGATGAGATGCACGTGGCGTTGAATGAATACCTCGATTATGATGATGATGATCAGCAGCACCAGCTACAGCAGCCACCACAGCAGCAACAACAGCTGCAGCTTTTGTTATCTGCCAAGGAAGCCGATTTCAATTCCCAGCCCGAGTTAGCGGCGAAATATTACCAGGAGGTTAGGTTGATCGATATTCGTTGGAATATATTTACTACTACTACTACTTCTACTACTACTACAACTACTACTATTATTATTAATTATTATTACTATTATTATTATTAATTATTATTATTATTATTATTATTATGACCAGAGGATAGCTCTGTGTGAGCGAGACGTCGACAGATGGTTCGATTACGGAGTCCACTTCATGCTCGTTGGCTCTCTTGCTAAAGTAACAATAATAATAATTATTATTATAATTATAATATTTATTATTATAATTATAATATTTATTATTATAATTATAATATTTATTATTATTATTGTTGTTGTTATTATTATTATAGGCAGGAGAATGCTTCAAGGAGTGCGTCGCCATTGATTGCGCCCATCTAGCTGGGTTTGCTGCTGTTGTTATTACTATTATTATTTATTATCATTATTATTCTTTTCAGTAGTAGTAGTAGTTGTGGTAGTACTAGTAGTAGTAGTATTATTAGTAGTATTTGAAATAGAAGTAGTAGGAATAGTAGCTAAAGTAGTATTAGTAGTAGTAGTAGTAGTACTAGTAGTAGTAGTAATTGAAACATGAGTTAGTTATAGTAGCTGCTGCTGCAGTAGTAGTAGAAGCAGCAGCAGTTTTAGCAGTAGTAGTAGTAATAATGAAAGCAATAGTAAAATTAAGGGTACAACAAAAAGCCGAACTACATCTTTCAGGCTGTTGATGAGTGCAGTCTGCGAGTCTTATAGAAACAATGTTAAAGAAGCAGAAACGCTGCTAGAAGCCGCCACAACCTACCACCAATGTTCAATACCGGCTTGGGTGTTATTAGGTATTATTGTGCGTGTGTGTATGTGTGTGTATTTTTTTATCTTTATTGATGTTTATTAATAACCTTGTCGCCAGGTTTATTCTACAATTCAATTTGCAACGTCATAATGTGCGAATCAGCGATGGCCAGAGCTTACGAGTTGTTACTTCAGCAGACAGATGATGAAGCGCCTCATAGTTTGGAAGGAAAAGATGTTACCAAAGATAGTGAAGGCGGCCAAATGTTGCAACCGGAAGTGAGAGCGTTGCCCGAGAAGAAGGGCAATAGAAAAAACGTGTCGTCGTTATCTAAGAAAAGTTTAAACAGGAGAGGTTATTATTATTTTTTTTATTAGTATTTTATTATTGTTATTGTTTAAAAATAGAAAAATCCAAAGAAATGAGAGAGCAGGCCGTAGAACCTCTGCCCGATTTGGTGAGGCCCAAAAATCCGAAAAAATCCGTCTTTGCTTACGTCATAAAGTTTTTGGAGAGGGCTAACGAAGTTGTTGTTAGTGTTACTGTTGTTGATGATGATGTTGTTGTTGTTGATAATGATGACGTTGTCGTTAATGATAAGTTGCACACACACGTACACACGCACACAGTTTAGAGAAAGAGCCTTAGAAATGTATAGACAAGAAATCGACAACAACAACAGCAACAATAATAATAATGATAACAACAACAACAATAATAATAACAATAATAATAATATTATAACTTACAACATCGGAATGGCAAAGTTATACTTAGTGAAAAAGCAACTTATTGACGCAG